TACGACTGGCTGATAACAAAACTGTGAGGATCAAGAAAGGAGCAATAAAATAAAGCCTTCAATATATCCATTTCTGAAAGAAAAGAATCATGTAATAATTCAGCAAAATTTCTTTTTGATGGTGTCAAGCTAACGGTAATCCATTTAGGGAGTCACATTTTTCAAAGACTGTTAAATGCATCATGATATTTCTGGACTAAGTCAATGTGTAAATTTTCTGTAATACTTTCGTGAAGATGTTAGGTTTTGTCATCTCTAACAGTAAGTATAGTACTGACTGGAGTAAATGCCTTCAAAAGCAGTTTGCCAAGGGGCCTTACTAACTAGTTCCCTGAGCAGCCTAGAATCTACACTTCCTATATTCAGGGCTGAGGTTTTGGTGGCACTTTTTCTCCTAGAACCAAAGATGTTAAATTCAATTACTTTGTGGTCACTCTGAGCAAGACGTATGTATTTAATGGAGTTCTATGGCAGGTTTGCATCTGGCAGGGAATATTTCAACTCTAAATACCACATAAACTCAATCCATTTCTCTATCATCTCATATGGACTGAATTCTGATTTATCTCTCTCTTCATTCCATACATAATGATTTATAACATCTATAAAATGTAGTTTGGGGACAATTGCAGAAGGAATCTGAAGATATAGTCTAGTGATCTATTTGTTTAATCGAGATGAGGAAGACTAAGATCCACATCTTTTTATCAACAAATATTTTCTTATAGAAAAAGGACTAAGAAGCTTCAAAATCTGATATAAAAAACAGAGAATTCATGTAGGGAAAATCAGACTTCATCTGTATTCAGATTAAGTGATATGAATGCTAATGCAAGTTACTTCTTTCCTCAGTACTAGCTGAACACTAGTTAGTCTACACTGACTTTTGGTCTGTCATGGTACAACATCCGCTTCCAGCACCTTTGATAACTCTTTCCTAAGGTCTAGGTGACTGTCACCCAGGCTTCAGTCAGCCATACAGAAGTTCTTCATCATAAACAAAACCATCTCCCATGGTTTTGAAAGCCATTTCTAGATTGTAGAGATTCAGCCTCTTAGCAATGCTTTTAAAAAAAAAAAAAAAAATGCAAGGTGGGCCAGATGCACCAAGGAAGAGATATAGTGAGACAGTTTCATTTCCTTCCCTGCGATATTCTGTGAGCTTGTAGTTTTAATTATTTATTTATGTGAGACAAGAGCATTGCCCCAGTGATAGTCTTGAGTCACTAGCTGACAGTACTGTCTGAAATTTAACTGTTGGATGTAAGTGTCTAATAAGACAAATAGATGTTGACATCTTACCTATTTTTTAGACACCATTCTCTTACTGTCTCACTTGTTCTTTCTCAATTACACATCGCATCTTGGTTATCTTTCTGTCTTTTGTCAGCTGTCTGCTTTTATGAGTTTATTGCAATTTTATGAAGTTATTGGAAATTGTGGTTTTTTAAAAATGCATTTTTTTACAGTAAATAAATTATTTAATAATTGAATTTATAATTGGATTTTCATGAAATTTTATGCTTATCTTCACCATTTAAAGTAGTAGTAGTAGTAATAGTGAAGCAGAATCACATATGACTTCATTTCATCGTCAATAACAGGGAGTTCCATAGTCATCTACTGATCATGCAGAATATTTTGCCAATCTCTCCTTTTTCAGGATTAGTTTCTGCCAACTCTTTTTTATGCCAGCTTTCTCACAGTGTGCAGTCACTTATTGAATTACTGTGAAGGAAATGATCTATAAGAACTTTTTACAGATATTTTCCTAGATAAAAATCACTGAATTGTGACAGTGATGAATAAAGGACTAAATGTATGACATGCTATCAGTGGCTTGGTAATATTTATATAAATTTGGATTTTTTCTGGAATACTCTTAGTCAACATGGGAAATAGTGTTCTATAGTAGTTTCTTAGAGTAGAAAAATATATGCATAGAATAAATCAATAATTCTTTTAAAGAAAAAAGAGTCTTGAATGGAAGCAGAAGCAGGAAGAAACTTTGCACTCACTGGGAGTGATGATGACAGTGGTGTCTTTGATAGGAAATGGAATTTGTATTTCTGCTAATACCTTGTAGTTTTTCTTCTCAGCTTTCTTTTCTTTATGCTTCTCTATATGTATTTTGACCTTATTGAGAGGATACTTATACTTCACATAACTACAGTCTTTGCCATGTTGATGGAAGAAGAATAATTTGGAAGTTCAGAAGCTTTCTGTAAGTCTTCCTGCTTTGCTGAGTGTTCCATAAGTCAGTGTTTCAATATTCTGTATGTGTAGAACCCAAGGAAAAATAATATACCATTGCCTTTCATTTACTTCAGGGAGTCTGTCAATGGAGAAAAAGCATTTAAATATAGCATAGATGTAGACATCATATTGTTAGACAGCTACATTTCTGAAGTTGAACGCTACCCGAAAACCATAAGCTTAATTTGATAGATTTGAGTAGATTGAGTAGAGTCATGACATATTAATACAAAATTTTACTTTTTTTTTGTTTTAAAGGAGAATGCAACCCTGAATGATATTACTCAGAGACAGATTATTCTATTCAAAGGTGTCAACCCATTCCAACTAAGCATGCATAAAATGTTAACTGCTAAGGCAGTATTTTCACTGTTGGGTACCAGACACTACAGAGAACAATGTTCATTCTGATATACTAAGAATATATCTTTAAAGAAAAAAAAAAAAAAAAAGCAATGAATGAAGAAAAAAAGGGAGATGAAGGAATGATTGCTCCTAAATATTTTTGTTTCTATAGTCCTGTATTTCCTTTGCAGGTATATTCACCAGACCCACATCATTTATATTTCAGTTCAGATTAGAGAACTGGATTAAAGATTTTTAGTTTAAAATAGACAATTTCCATTTTAGAATTCTTTCTGGCAAAATGTTGATGTGTTTTAGAAATGCATTTGATATTTTGATAATTCTGTGGAATAGAACTTAAAATCAACTATGACATTATAAAATAAATGCAATATATTCATTCTACTCTTTCAAAAATCAGAATTATTTTGGCAAGCTACACTAAGTTGTATAGGAAGACAAGCTCAGCAAACTCTTTCTCTTTGAAAGACAATATTCAAAAATACTGTTTTCTTTAAAGTTATGTAATTCATACTCCCTTAGTTTAACTATCTTTCTGTTAAAACAGCAGGAGTTGATGAAGCCTTAATGTTCCCATATATGTATTTATTTATTCATTATTCAGAGCACACGTGATTCCTTTTATATGCACTCACAATGTTAGCACTCCTCTTTGTAAAATACAAGCCAGCTGGGCTTTAAAATGTGTTATAATCTAATTTAGACTGACTTTATTCAATTACTTTGTGAATCAAACTTTGGATCATATTTCTTCAGGACTAAAAAGCTAATTAAGGATAAGTTTTTTTAACTCTTAACAAATTTAACTCTTAACAAATCTGATATTTTTGGGGTTTGTGTATAACTACTAGGATGTTAATTATTTTTGCTTGAATTCTCAGATTTTTAAAACATAACTGTATATATTATGGATATAGTTAAAAAATAGAGACAAACTATAATCCATCTCCATCTACATGTTTCTTACATTAGGAATTCTTACATTACTCCACACTGTCAGACTCACCTTTGTACTGGGAAAGGTCATGGAGCAGATCCTCCTAGAAGGTATGCTAAGGAACATGGAAGACAGAGAGGTGATACAGAAGAAACAGCATAGCTTCACCAAGGCCAAGTCCTATGTGACCAATCTAGTGTCCTTTTATGATGGTGTCACTACATCAATGGACAAAAGAAGTGCTACTGATGTCATCTATCTTGACTTCAGTAAGGCCTTTGACATGGTACCCCATAACATCCCTCTCTCTAAATTGGAAAGATATTGATTTGATGGGTGGACAGTTTTATGGATGAAGAAGTGGCTGCAGGATTGAGTCCAGAGATTGGTGGTCAATGGCTCAATGTCTGGATGGAGATTTGTGACGAGTTGTGTCCCCCAGGGTTTGGCGCTCGGGCTCATTCATCAGTGGCATCAACAGTGGGGTCAAGTGCACCCACATCAAGGTTGCTGATGACACCAAGATGTGCGGTTCAGTTGACACATAAGAGGGCAGGATTCCATTCATAGGGACCTAGACAGAGTTAAGAAGTAGGCCCAGATAACCCTCATGACATTCAACAAATTCAAGTGCAAGATCTTGCACCTTGTTCAAGGGAATCCCTATTATCAGTACAAGCTGGGGAATGGAAGGATCAAGAGTAGCCCTGCTGAAAAAGACTTGGGTGTAATATACCTTCCATATGGGAGGGCATATTACTCATATTGCTCATATGCCCATATGCACAATGACCCTCCCAGCTGAGAAAGACTATTGCATCTTGGGCTGCATCAAAAGGCCAGCAAGTCAAGGGAAGAGATCCTGCTCCTTTACTCTCCACTGGTGAGGCCTCATCTGGAGTATTGTGTTCAGATGTGGAGTCCTTAGTACAGGAAAGACATGGACCTGTTGGAGTGCATTCATAGGAGTGCCACAAAAATTACATGAGAGCTGGGACTCTTCAGCCAAGAGAAAGAAGGGGACATACTCTTTAATAGGGTGGTAAGGCATTGGAACAGGTTACCTAGATGGTGGATGACCCATCCTGGGAGACTTTCAAGGTGAGTTTGCATAGTGCCCTGGGCAACATATTCTAGCTGTGTATGACCCTGTTCGTTGTATGGGAGATGGACTAGATAGCTCTGAGAAGTTCCTTCCAACTGTAAGGATTCTGTAATTCTGTAATAGCATGAATGGGAACTGCTGAGTCACAGCCTGAACCTCTGATTGATCACCTGAGGCAAGCAATGAGTCAGCCAAAGGAGCACAGGTGAAAACAATTCACCTGTGCTGCTGGAAGGGGTGGAGCCAGGGTCCACCTCTCCTAGACCTGTTTAAGAGCTGGCTACCAGTAGGGAAGGATCTTTTCTGGAGATCTGCTCTGCTGGAGTTTTGTAAACGAGCCCAGGATAGGGGTAAGCTTTCTATCTGTTCTCTTTTTGTTATCGTTATCTGTTTTGCTAAACTCTCTTGTTTATTTTGTAGTTATAACATCTTAATATTTGTTGATTATACATAGTACAATAAGAAATTTTTGTTGTTGGACTTATTGCATACACCAAAGCAAATATAGCTCAACGTATATAACAAAATATATTTTGTCAGGAGCTCTGAGTATGTTTATTAAATGCCATATAATTTTGAGTAAGCTGTTATCTATTTCTATTTTATGTAACGACGTTTTCCATTTCAATAAGATATCAAAATACTTTTCAGTGGTACGCAGTAACTGCAGAAAGGAAGTCATCTCAGGTGTGCTGTGAAGCAAACCAAAATTTCAGTGGGAATACATCAAGCTTCACAATGGTAAAACCAAGGCGTAGTCTTAAGTACGTAATTATTTGCATGCTATTTCTTAATCTGTAACATGAATTATACTGTATAATGGATACTGACTACTAACATATTTCTTCAGAAGTTTCTGGAGCGCATATGAAGAAAGACATTTTGCTTTCAAAGAGAAAAACTAAAGAAAATATATTCCTCTTCATGTAGAATGGAGGAGTTTTGAATCTGTGAATAAAAGGGAAATACTACTTCCTTGTTGTAAACTATAGTAGTTTAGCAGTGTGCTCTACTACCAGGCATTATGCACACACACTGATTCATTATAATATACAATATTATACATCATAATAATATATGCTGAAGTGCTCTACTACAGTAAATAGTTTTAGTGTACATTTATTTCTATTTCCGCTTACTGTAGTCTTCAGTATCCTCCTCTGTTCAGTCACTGTATACTCTCTGGATATTATAAATCTATGCCTCAGCTTGCATACAGAGTTCTACTTGCTTTTCTATCCTTTAAATAAGAAATTAGAGCTATTTTTAATGATTGATGCTTCATATTAGTTCAGAGTGATTCTATCTTGATTCTATTTATTCGCAGTCAAGAACATTTTGAAAATGTTAAATCATAAAAGCAACTGTAAAATACAAGTTATAACAGTATACTGGGGGTAAATAACTGAGAGCCATTATTGACTTTCAGAACTTGCTAATGAAGATGGAAGGTTAAAAAAAAACCTACAAAACAACAATACATGTATTCTGTCAGATCACAGGCTGAGTTCACAGAATACCAATAACAGTAAGTAACAATGGGAAACACCTGCTTTCTGTCCATTTATTTATTCCACATAATTCAATATCATTTTTTTGAAAAGGAACCACAGATTCTCTGAGGGGGGGAAAAAAAAAATGCAGTGTTTGAACCAAGTAGAATACTTCATCTTCTCTTTTTTTCCTTACATAATTAAGATTTTAGTTTTTCAGAACTATTTGGAGACTGCAGACATTTACAAGTCCATGGACCCTGACAGAATGCACCCACAAGTGCCGTGCACAAGATCCTCACAGTGAAGCTGTTTACGTGTGAATTAGAAAAGCAAACAATGAAGTGGTCAGTAGTGCAAATTTCACTTGGTCTAAAAAGTTGAGTAACTCAGAGGTTAACAGCTGAAGGGAGAATGGAGCCACACTATCTTTAATCATGGCCAGTGCCAGGACGGGAGGCTATGGACATAAACTGGAACTCAAAATGTTCCACCAGGAAGCATTTTATAATATGGGTGATGGAACATTGGAAAAGCTTATCCAATTTGTCTGGGACCTCCTTTACTGGAGATCTTGTGGATGTGGTCCTGGCAAAACTTATTTATGTGTCCTTGCTTGAGCAGAGATCTCCAGAGGTTCCTTAACCACTCTTCTATACTCTGATTTGGTTAGAATACTTTCTTAACATGTCAACTAACAAGAGGAGACTAAATACATAATAACAAAGTGATTTTGAAATAGAAACCTTTCATTTTTCAAACTTCAGTACCTGGACTTGTCTGGAATAGTACTGAAACCTGACACAGCTTTCAAAGAACTGGAGAACACTTACTGATTAGAGTTATTAATCATTCTGTTCAAATCCATATTTATACTTTTTTTTTTACTTAATTGATCTTTGTGTATCTATTTGCATTTATCTCATCACTGTTAAGTTCAAACCAATCTTGAACTTGAAAATAGAGCTGAAACAAACTTTGTACTTCCCAGAAATTTCTAGAGGAATTATGAATGCTTGAGACCTGGACAAATCTCTGCATTGTATGTGATCCAGAAATTATATATTTTTATCACATGACAAGTAAATGCATATGCATAAGCAATTTTCTTTATTTAGAGTGTTCAGTGTTTGTATTTATACATAAACATTTCCTTAGAAAAATAATTGCTGTTTACTAAATCCCTTCATGACAGAACATAGACAATGCTTTCAGATCTGTATATTTCTAATATGGACACCATATGCTACTTTATCTAACACAGTACATATTACCATATCTTTAAAAAAAGTCTTGGAAAGTTTCTAAACTATTTATGATATTATTAGTGGTTTTAATGAACAGGATGATATACTGTCAGAATTTACTTTAAGATTGTACTGTAAATTCTTGGCCTCACTTAGATTTTTTTCTTTGTCCATAATGAGAGCAGTTGTTTACCATCTAACACAAATACAAGAATGCTGATATTATCTTCTTTAGATTAAACAGTGAAAAGGTGCAACTTAAGTTTTTTGGGGTTTTTTGCCTTTTTTTTGGTGGTGGTGGTGAATAGTGGTAATGGGCTGCAACAGTTCTGGCTGCTCTGTGGAGGCAGAAGGGAAACCATTCTTTTTCCAATAGCTGACATGTCTATTCTAAAGGAAGAAAGCCAGTGTCCACTTGGAACAGTTTGGCATTTGGCTTACTCGCAAATCTCAGTGTGATGTCTGGGCTTTGCCTCTGTTGGATGTGTCAGTCAGCTGAAGGGGTTTTTTTTGTTGTTGTTGTTATTTGTGTGTTTCTTTTTTTTTTTTTTTTTTTTTTTTGCAGTACCAGGTAATTCTTAATGAATTACTTATTCTAACCCATTGTTAGTAGATGGGGAATAATATTTGCCAAAAAAATATATCCATTTCTGGGAACAGTTCTCTAGCATGCTCTTCATTTGGACACTGAGGTCAATGTGATATTAATGAAGAAACAGTGTTCTCTGCTTTTTTTTTTTTTTGTTTTTGTTTTACTGTAATGGGATATTCACAGTTTGGAGCTTTACCTCTGTGTGCTTTTGCCCCTTTCAGTTTTCAAAAATGTTTATAATGCTTTAAGTATTGGTGTTAAACTGGATCAAAATATAAACGTATTCACCCCTCACACTGTTAAATTTAAGCTACTCCCTGACATTTGCAAGAGCTGTTCAAGAAAACTTATTAATTCTAACTGAATTTGTTTGTGAATTCTACAGCAGCTTTAGTGACATTTGAACATCTCAAGGAAATGGACATTCAGGATATTAAAAGCAGAGAATGAAAGAAATGTCACATGTGAAAGTTTTGGAAAGAAGAAATATTAAGAGATTCCATTAAAGAGAAGGAGGTTCCAAGAGAGACATAAAACCATATTTTTAAACAAAAACTAGAAAATGGGCTGCCAGCTTTGCCAGCTGATCATTTGCACCTGGCTGAAAACATGTTGCTGCAGATGGTTGTTAATGCAACATTTGGCCATGTTATACATTGGCTGCAATAAAATATATTTCTTCATGACATCAAGTTAATAGCTTCATTGCATTTGAGATAAGACCCATAATGCTAAAGACATTCATTTGCATAAAATAACTATCTCTGTACATTCTTCTCTTAACTGGAGTTCAAAAGATTCATCAGTCAACAAAATGCAAACATTCGATTAAGGCTACGAAGGCTACTTCACATATCAGGAAAACCACTGTTTTCTGTGCAATCAATTTATTACATCATTTGTAAAATAGATTAAAAAACAGCATAGCTTTATTTTTTTTCTGATTGTATAGGATCTGGTTGGGATGGAGATAATTTTCTTCACAGCAGCCCACACTGTGCTATATTTTAGACTTGTGATCAAAATAGTATCAATAACGTGCCAGTGTTTTATTGCATTTGTTGAACGCTGCTTGCAGTGTCAAGGTTGTCTGTTTTTCATTTCAAGGAAATAGGCTGGGGCCAGATAGGATGCTGGGAGTTAACATAACTGGGGCATGTGACTCAAACTCCCCAAAGGTATATTCTATACCATGTGATGCCATACTCAGTAATAAAATTTTGGATTTGCTCTTCCAAGGTAGTCTTCATTTGGACACTAGCTGTCCATCAGTCTGCTGTTGGCAGGTGGTGGTTACCTTTGCAGATCTTGTTTGTCTACTACTTGTGTGTGTGTGTGTGTATTTTTCCTTTTCCTCCACTTACTAAAATGTCTGTATCCTGACCTATGGCTCTTCCTTGATTTTTGCTTCACTGATTATCTCCTCCCATTCTGCTGGTGAAAGGGATTCAGTCAATGGTTAGTAGATACTTAATTGTCAACCCACAACATGAATAAATTATTCATATTTTATAATTTTTGTACATAGATTTTAAGTTATTTTTATTTTTTTAATATTTCAATTTTATTTAATATTTTTCTACTTTTTAATAAGGCTAAGTATGCAAAGATCAAGAGGTTTATAATTTCTTTTTGTTTCTATACAAACAAATGAAAAAAAAATATGAAATACATGTTATTTACACTAGAAAGTGTGAAATGTTAACTTTTATATAATGAGAAATACAGAGCATATTTCTCCCCAGCAGGGAGAAATATACAGATACAGTGTGGCAAAGACTTGTATCAACAATTTTATCCATTGCAGTGAGTCATAATGTGGTATGTGCTAATTAAAAGATACCATATATCTTGTTTTTTCAACTTTATTCCCTCATCTGTTGCTATTGTTGTCTCAGCCAAAATTTTAAATGTGAAGAGGAAAATGCTATCTAAAGCGGAATTGAAAGTTGCTACTTTGTATTTTGTTTTCAAACTCTGATGCAGTGTATAAGAAAATGCTTTGTTAATTGCATGTCTTAAAGTTGATTTTATCACTGTAGTAGAGCTCAACACAACATATTCAGCAGCCTATAAGGAACAATACAAGTTGAACAATTTTGTGAAGAATTCCACTCATAATTAAATCAAAGAGAAGTACAAAAATACTTTTCTCTTGTATTAACCTAGGTATTTTGCTGATTTGTTTTACTACTTGACTTCCTAAATCCTGATCCATAAATCACTAAATCTGTGATGTTTTTAAAAAAATATTTGAACAGTTGTATGCTATAGACTCGCAAGAAATCAATACTTATTGCTAACCACAAAAAATCATATTTATATAAACTGTGAATTTTAAAGGTAAGAAATAAATTTAGAAGTTGAGATGAGGATTAGCAAAATGGTCCCTAGAAGTTTTTATGCTGTAATCTGCACTCAGATCACTTTAGAAAAATTTCCTGTCAGTAAACTTCATCTATGCAACTGATCCATTTCTTTGAAGGCTTAAATACAGTGTAAAAACTGCCTGTCATTTACCACATAGTGAAAAGTCTGAAACTTCTATAACATTATCTACATAAGGTAACATCTTAGTGATCCTACTGCAAGATGATTTATTCTTCTCTACCTTATGTAACTTCTTTCCCTGAAGTTAACCTAGTGGATGCATAACATACAATGTCAATTGTTTGATATGTTTCATTTATTATATGTAAGATGAGTCTTTATTACACGTGGTTTCCCATATCAACAGACAAGAACATCAGTAAATCAAGTCTCCATTTTGCAATAAATAAAATCAACAGAAAGTGCTAATTTTCTTGAGAATGTGGGGCTCGCTTATTCTAATTTGATAGTAGTTTGATAGTCAAGCTACTGTTAATTAATAACTGGATGAAAAGTTTGAATATACAAACGAAAGCAATAGATTCTCAATCTATTTATGGATAATTCTTTGTTTATTTTTTCCCTTGAAGAAAATGTGTTTTGATAAGAAAATGAAGCTAAATTCACTCAAACTTTTCAGGAAAATTCAAATAAGTTTTAAATAAGATTGTTTCAAAGTGGTAAAGATGAGTAGGTAAATTTATAGTTAAAACAATAAAATAAATATGCAGAAGCAGTAAGAATTTGATTTAAATATGCATTTTTCCCCTATCTTATTTAATAAATCAAATCTTTCTGTAACTGGTGATATTATAGTGAGCCTGTTTCATAATTTCTGAGAATCTTAGGACCTGCTCTTTCCTTGATGTAGAACAGCTGTGAACTCCCTGAAACTTTTGAGTGGGAAAAAAAAGTAATTTCTTAATAAATTATATTAAATGCTTCCAAATAGACTTTGTGCCTCTGGTAACTGTGCTCTAAGCCTGACCATTCAGCCAATTTTCAAACCACAAACCACTTCACTGTTCACTTATCTAAGTCATACTCATGTCAGTTCGTGAATGAAGATGTTATGGGAACACATTGCTGAATACTTTACTATACCAAGGTAAATAACATTAGCTACTTTCCTCTTGTTTGCTAAGCTAGTCACCCCAAAAAGCTAACAGGTTGGTTAAAAAGGTTTTCCCTTTTCTTCATAAATCCATGCTGACAACTCCCAAACACTCATCTTTCATATATTTGGAAATACTTCCTAGGATGATTACCTCCAACGCCTTTTCATGAGCTGAGATTGACTGGCTTGCCATTCTATGCATCTTTCTTTGTGCATAGGGGGAAGGAAGGTGGGACTTATATTTGTTCTCTTCCAAGTCTTCTGGAAACTCTCTCAGTCATGATGACCTCATCAAGTTGATTGGCAGTAATTTTATGACATCTGCTGGCTTCTTCAATGTCTATGTGTACAACTTCAGGTGCATCAGGCCCCTTGGACTTACATACACCCGATTAGCCTAAGTATTCCCTGATTTGGTTCTCCACCAAGGGTAGAGATTCTGTAGTTACTTTAAAAGTGAGAGTACTGTACTGAATGCCTAGCCATAAAATATCCTGGAGAATATAGTCAAAATGATGTTACAGAAGATGATTTGGGCTGTGCTATCCTTTTGGTTCAGAACTGAAAAAACACGAGGGATTAGTGGTCCTAGCTACTATGAATTTATTGACTTTTAGAGACTTTTCTTGCTTTGAACTTAGCAGAAATGCAATATGCAAGGTGAATGTTTTTGGTAGCAGATGTTTGTAGTAGGTTTCCTACTGTGTTCCATGCTATTTATAAATTATTTAATCAAAAATGAGATTGGTGAAACCATAGTTTTGGTCACTGTTTCTTGAGAGCTTGTCAGTATTTTGTAGCATTTACATGTCATCTTGTGAAAGATACCTGCAATTTATCAATGAATGTGAATTTTACGTCAGACATTTTT